ATGGTTAGGTCATAAATAGGGTATCGAATATTTGGTCAGGTCATAAATAGAGTTGGGAATATCGCAGATCTTGGTGAAACGGGGTGAAATGTCAACTTTTCTCACCTTTTCTGCGTAGAAAACCAACGTCGAGAAAATGACCATGGGAATCAAGAGGATAAGGACCAGGAGAAATAACTCCCGTGCACTGGCTCTCAAGGTATGTCCAATCACTTGCATGCCACTCATGGTCCGGAAAAACCTGAATAACCGGAAAATCCTGATCAGTCGGAGAACGAACAGAAAGGTTAGAGTGCCTGTCACTGTATTTGACAAGTTGACGTAAAGGGGAACCACTGATGTTATGTCGACCCATGTCATAAATGTTTTAAAAAATTCGGGCAGTGAAGGGCATGTGCAAAGCCTGGCCAGAAAGTCGGCTGAAAACCACACCAGGTAGAAATATTCCATGCCTTCGAACAAAGACTTGTAGTCCTCACTCAGGTCTTCAATTGATTCCAGGCAAAATGTGAGCACTGATAAGACTATGACAATCAATGACACCATAGCAAACATCTGAAAAAAAAAAAAGAGAGAGTAGAGATGTAATGCTGGTCTGTGCAGATCTCGGTGTGCTCTCATCCCCCCGGGGATGCCCCCTGTAATGGCCTATCGGGGAGGCTCCGCCCAAAAGGGGTTACCTTTCCTAGGGATTTCACAAGTTGAGGTATAGAAAAGGGTTGGGCAATCGGAATATCTTGACTCCGGCCACAAGATGAACTGAAAAAATAACACTTGTTTTTCTGGTTAACATCTCTTCTGGTAATGCTCGATGTTCCCCGGTAATGTTGTTCATTAACTTCATTCGAAGGGTGCAGTTTTCTTAAGTAGGTATGTGAAAGAGGTACCCGTTTTCCAGTAAAAGGTTTACGAAAGGAGTACAAAAGGACAAGGGGCTGAACCTCGGTGCGGAGCCTCCACGTAACATAAAACGTTCTGGAGTATCTCCCCGGGCTCTCATCTCATTAGCATGTAATTCTTGGAGTTTCCTCCCGTGGGAAATGGAACGGACTTTTTGCTAATTTTGAGCCAAGTTTTCTCATACTTTTGAAAGTAATGTTCACGTCAGAATTGGTGAAACACTTTTTCTCTCCTCTCCGTCGTCTACTTTGAGAAAAATGACTTTATTAGAAACACACACTTAGTCGAATGTTTTCTTCCGAAGAGCCACGCGCCAAAATCGTGGTACACGGCGAATGACACATTTAATTAATATTCCTTAGCGGACTGTTTTCACGGGTTGCAACTTTGTTAAAACAGTTGATGCAAGTCTAAATCAAATAGAAGGGCGTTGTACATCACTAATATAGCGTTTCACTTACGTGGCCAGCACACATGCATATTTATTGAAACAAAAGGTACATAAGGAAAGAGTTCAACTCCCACAGGATTGGTTTGGTACACCAGCATGGCCGCCGTTTCATTGTTTTGGAACACAACCAATATGGCTGCCGTAACGTCATGTGAAAACGCTCTATAACGCCAAACGAGCCAATCCCCAGTCGAAGCAAAAATATCCAACGTGTGACGGGTGCCAAAGGCGGGAAAAATAGATAACCTGAACCACGATTGATATAGGTTGAATTAAATTTAGCCGCTCCCAGCTGGTTTATCTTAATCTTGGTTACTATAAATTTGCGTTCATTCTGTTTGTATAGAGCACGTTGAAGAACAAGCGAATTCATGATTTTGGCTGAGTCAGTAAAAACCGTATGCGGCCTGCCGCCAAAAAGGCTACACTCGTTCAACTTCGTCACTTTTGTGTCTGTAATTTAAATTACAAATTACAAAGACTATTGTCGTAATTAAAAGTCAGTGTTGCTATCAGATTGTTAAATCGATGCCCCCGGGCTAAAATCAACCACATAGAGGTTTTTGTAGCCCTATAATACGAAGATATGTACTTTTTCTTTTTTCCGCGGGCAAGAAGACTATTTCAAAGACTTCCAATATTATAGTTGAACTGCTTAGTAGCTTTTGTCATCTGGCCCATCTATTGTAACAATTATAATCAAGGCCAAATTTTGGCTGCAGTCAATTTGTGTAATTGCCACGGGCTTGACAACAAAGCCACGTTGTATGCAGGAATAATCTTTTTCTTTTCAGTCGCATTAAACCAAACTACCTTTCTTGGAATATTTTGTGGAAAACAAAGTTAAGCATAATCTGTATATAATGCGAACCTCAAATTTATATTCCTTTCTTTTTCACTCAAGACACGTTATCGAAAATGGCGCACGTTCGACAAAACACTACCTTCTGCCTTCGTGTCAAAGAGCGTTAGTAACAATATTGCAAATAGACACGTATTGAATGGTTCAACACGGTTATAAAGCTTTCGGTTTTAATTTAATACAAGACAAAGGTGTCAAGACTGGGGATTCGTGTGACCATATTTCGTACTCAGCTGGTGCCCATGAATAATACACTACAGCAGGCAGCTAGTTGTGGTTCATTTCCTGTGCTACTGCATTCGAGATCTGTTAAAGTACTTGAATTGCTAACAGCCTTTGCTTCAATTACATTCGCTGCGCATACACTTTTTTGTTATAAGAATATTGTTTTTTTCCGCCGAGGCTGAATATTCTTATTTTTCTGCCGATTTCAGGCTGACCTGATATATTCTTGTGAATATTCTTAGATTACAGCGTATGACATTTCTGTTTTCGAATGTATGAGGTGTCTAGACAGTGTTTTAAAAAGCATTTGGAGCCAGCCTGCAGGCAAAGAGGCCTGATATGACGTACATAACTTCTTGCAGAAATGTTTTTAGCATCGAACATACGACCAGTACAGATTTTGGTGCTTTTTGGCTGGTTCCACCGTTAAGAGAAAGGAAGAATTCCATAGTTTTAGTTAGAAACATATAATTGTATTGTATTTACAAATTTTCAACACAAAAAATTATGTTCTTTTCAAAATCTCAGCCTCAGGTTTTTTTTAAATATTCTTAAAATCTTCGATATTTTTATAAAATTTCTTATAAAAAATGTCAAACATTTTAGCCTCGATTTTCTTATAAATCATATATTCTTAGAAAAAAAAAAGTGTATCAATAATACATATACTACTTCAAACACAAGTTTGTCAAATATTATTCTTCGTACATTAGTGTTAATATCACATATATGAGACTTGAAAGGTAACATTCTGTTAATTTCACCGGTCAGTCGTTTAAATTGATTGTACTGAAATAAGCTCGCATGATGAAGGTTTGTTGCAAATAACATTGTACGAAATCAGCATACTGATTGTACTGAAATAAGCTCGCAAGGCAAATTTAGCATAGAGAGTAAACAAATTGGCAGATGAAGGTTTGTTGCAAATAACATTGCACGAAATCAGCATACATGCATGTTTAACAGATTCGACTGTTACTGTCTAACGCTAAATATAACAGCAAAAACGATTGCGATTTCTTTCACTCTGAGATACTTGGAATACGAAAAATAAAAATACATAACGGTACCCTTATATCTAAAATAATGTGCAAGATGTATTGTACGACTCCACGACAGACACTGAAATTGTTTGTTTTGAAAGCGGTAAAGCGTTTGAACTCCGCAGCTTTTTTTATGTAATATCGTCGGATAGAGCGGGTAATAGCACTTCGAGGGATGATCGCAGTTCATGGCATATATAAAATGGTGTAAGAAAAATAATATTTACATGGGATGCATCGAAATTTGTCGCGTTAACACAAACATGGACCGCAACACAGGTTTCAATACTTTGCTTTCTCTTAAAACATTAATAATAAGTGTCGGCTGTAAGTAGTTTTGCTATATGTTCGTTGATTGCAATTTCGTGCCAGGGATAACAGCCAATACGTCTTTTGCACCAATAAGAAAGTTTTCGCGTGGACAAGGAAAATAAACTATGAAAAAGAACATTTTGTTGTTGGAGTCATGGACATACCAGTGACTCTGTCAAATGCGTTTTATATATATAAAAAGCTCAAGATCGCGAAAAAAGTATTAAACTCGTGGACAGGTATGTTTTTGATTATTAAGTAAACAATTTGACACGGATCTACTTTAGAGCAAGACCCAAGGCGATTCTTTATTTCACCTGAATACATATTAAAATTATGTTTCGCTGAAGGCTGATGAAAACGGTTCCTCATTTCTTTCCCCTGAAATGCACTGAAAATTTACAGATGGCCTTGAACTCGCGAGCGAATCAATACAATTTCTTTTTTGATACTGCATAATTTTACCTTCAACGATACTTCCTGGTTTCGAGAAAAATCCTTGCAAACTCGACTGTAGATTTAATTTATATGAACCGTAACAGTGAAATGAGTCCATTTAGGTATTTTCAAATGATAGGGGTCGATCGATTCAAAGGAGTATTCTATCATTGCTTTCATTAGATAGTTAACAGTAAATATGAAGAAGGGGTCGAACTTAACTGTTATATGTCGTGTAATAGGAAGTATGCCCTTTTTAGACTTTTAGAATGTATTTTGTTGTTCCCGCAGTAGACGGTTTGGCTATTGTTTATCGGAGCCAAAACATATATTGTATCAAAATTGTTTCGACGCAAAATTAAAATGCACATTTCTAGAAATATTGGTGTTGAGCTGTTGTTGGTTCGATCTTAAGAGCCCGTTTTCAAAATATCGAATGAAAAGCAAGTAGAGATAATAATATTTATTGATGAAGAAGAAATCGTCTACAAGATGATATTTCGCAAGCTGATGCAAACAGTTATTACCATAATTAATAATGAGAGAATTTTCTTATAACTGCCATGTTGCTATAGCCATCGGGTTTCATGTCATCATTTTTAACAGTAGGCCATTGTGTTGACATGTTTTCTGACAGCGAAACGCGCTTAAAACTCAGAACGCGATTCTACATACACAGACAACAATGTTGACGAATTTTTAAATATAAATAACATCAAACAACACCATCGCTTCGAGGCTTGGGTTCTGCAGTGAGATATGTGACCTCTACACAAGTTGGAAGCAAATTTACGTTTAATTTGACGTAGTCTGCGTTAAGATGACTTTCAATTTAAATGCTTAAAAATAAAAAAAATTGTTTTGAGTGGTAAACCGATACGCACTCCCACAAGTATTTTAGCTGTAGTTTCAAAACACATCCACTTGACAAGTCAAAATGCCAGCTCGATTTTTTAATTTGCATACGCGCAGAAACGTGCAAAATGAAAACCGAAAAGCAAACGAAATTCCGTCTTTAGGCACAAGCTCCGACTCTTATCGATTTAGCCGGAACAACTAAAATCACGATTTCGCACTCAAACGGTAGAAACTGACGACGGTTGTGCAACTACATCTCACTTCCGTCCTAAATTTGAAAAAAGAAAAAAAACAAAAAGTATTAAATTCGATCTATTACATGTAAATTAGTCGCCTGCCCTGGTTGAAGTAAAAGCGGAAAAAAAATCGCGATACCTTCACAAGAAACTTGCTGAGTAAAATTGCTTTTATAAACATCAAAATTTTTGTTGTTATTATTATTATTTAATTTGCCTTTAGCAGTGAAATGAAAAAAGAAATAAGGTAAAATAATGTAGATTCCAAACCTGCGCGTATTTTGAAGAATATGGCTGCTCCAACATGGCCCAAATTTCTTTCTTCCATTTCGTTCTTGAAGATTCCTTGTGTCGAACTTTGAACGCGCTGGCTTCATTTTCAGATTCCTCGACGCTTTTTTGCAATCCTTCGAATGCCTTCAGTGTCGCTTGTGCATCTCGATGCTGGGTATAATTACTCCAGCAACACGGCTCCATTTGAAGCTCGTCTATCCCCCAAAACGCCAGCTCTTCCTCAAACAGTGGTCCGCACACATCACTAGGAGTATGAAGTTTGCCGGTCCGATAGTAATTGATAATGCTGGCGAAGACCCCAGGGTGGCGGTCAAAAAAGTACTCGTTGTTTTCCGGATCGTACTCGGCTTGTTTAGAAGCATTTTCCGCGATCCAGGCTAGCCTTGAATCCGGTACAACCCTAAGCGTGCTTAAGTACGTTTCGTGGCGATAGCCGCCTACGTTGATAATAACCCGGTCCTTCGCTAGGACGCGCGCTGGCAACGAGTCTTCGAAGTTGGACTCGGATTTCGCCCGCGCAATTCCCAGTCCTGGCTCGAGCATCGTTCGAGTTTGGTCCGTCTGCATGGAGCGGATATCTCAGCTGTGCACGGCCATTTTCTCAATCAAAAAAATCACTTGAAATGAAAGTGCCGCTCGGCTCAACTCACAACGCATAGGTTACATTCATCATCACTCGCGCTGGCTGGCCACCTGTTTGGCCGAGTCTCCATGTAATTTAAACACATTTGCATTTGAAACATAACATGGCCGATTGCTGGCCTTTCTGCCGTTGTTTTAAGAAGAGGGTTATCGCTTCCAGAGCCTGAATTATACCATCGATTAAATTACACCCTTAAATGACATCTGAGCGTGCAGAATATATACTAGATTACGGTACAGGCTCCAGAAGTACTCTAGTTAATTTATTAAGGCCCCAAGGTTTGTTTTACATCGTAAATCAATATTTAAATACAATGGACCGCACTATTAACCAATCAAAAACCGACTTTGACCTATGGACTAAAAGCTTTCAAATCTTCATCTTTCGCATCGATTACCGGCGACTTTTCCTATCAAAACAGCAGTCTAAAGCTTAACACATCAAGATCTTGCAAGAACAAACTAGAGGAACACAATAACGGGCGGTTGAAGGAAAACCGAACAAAAGCGATTCTCCCGAATCACAGACCTGAGCTAGATTTTGCGGCAAAGACCACGAGGAGGAAATTTGTACGTCTAGCCAAAATGTCGTCTACTGACTCAACTGCGAAAGGAATTAATATTCTTGTGTTTAAGCAGAACAGTTTAGCTGTCAACACCCTACACTAGATGAGAGTTAAATTCAAAGCTGGCAAAAATTATAAAACTCACAACAATTGTTAATTAGTTTGTTGTTAGTGGCTTAAATTTTTTTGGAAATAGAACTGAATATCCAAATCAGGCGCTTTGTACCTAATGATATGAAAAAAGAATGGAGAAATTGAATTTCTACGGGAACCCCTTGCCAGTTTCTTAAAGAATTTTAATTGAAAATGAGCCCATGATGGAAATGACGGATAAAAATAATTACGCATTTCCAGAGTCATTTTATTCCTAAGATTTTTAATTTTCGTGGACCACCCGCTAACGCCAATAGTTTGATTGTACTAAAATAATCGACTTGATATGGAGAAATCCTCTTGTTATTCGTCTCATTTAAGGTAACTTTTGAAATGCTTAAGCCATAGGGCTTTATTGCGTCAGTTGCTGAGGTATCGTTAAAAACCAGCCCGAGGAGCCGTTGTTTGTTACGATGGTGGTTTAAATTCTTTACCGAGCAGTTCGGAAACCTAGGACAAGATTTAGCATCACTGCAATAAACGAGAATTAAGAAACAATAAGGATTCGTACTGTCCTAGCGGAAATATCACAAACAGCATCTAATAAAGTCGAGGTAAAATTCAGGCTGAAATTCGAAGCTACAAATTAATGTCCAACCATTTGTAATTATTTGTTTGGTGGGAATGTTTTGATTCAAGTAATTTAAAACATCTCAAAGCCGACCTTAATTAATCATTCCAATGAGTTTTATCTTTATTTTGTCAAAAGAGCTTTTGACGGGCTATATATTGCGTAAGACATAATGATTCCACATTAAAATATGACTCGCTGGTTTCTACAGCATGAAGCACTTAAACATAAAAGAGTATAGCTTTTAAAATTAATGTAAATGCATACTTGGTGATGGTTTTGAAGCCTTTTTACGCCTTTGTTTTGTCTAAAACATTTCTTCTTGTTAAGCAAACAACCAAACCTAGAATAGATCTTTTAAACATGTATGAGAAAGAGGCAGTTCTACTGGAAATTAACAGAAGTAATCGAAATATATTTTCCACCCTGAGAAAAAAGCCCTTTTGTAAGCACTAGATCGACAACGGTCTGCGGGGGATAAATATGGCGGGTTTATTATTAATTAAGATACCTTTTCTTGTACACGAGAAGAATATCATTAAATTCCTTGCTAGAAACAGCAGTACGCCCAAGGCAAGTGCGCCGCGGTATTGGATTGCGTATTCTTGCTGAGCAGACTATCACGCACAATTAGCGCGCGCACATGAACAAAATGGTGGCTTTTTCTAAACGGCTTGGCTTGCGAGAGACAAATCATCGTTTTTCTTCTCGGAAACGAGTACCGGGACCTAGTTATTTTTTCATTTAGTTTGAATGCAGCGATCACCTTCTTTCTACACAGTGAATATAGATCAGTTTCTATCTCAGAGTAAAACAATATCACTGAAAATTAGAGCATAGCTAACACTCTGAATCCCTGTCGACTAAATATGGACATACATCAACGTACATAACGTACATCAAATTGCTCCTTAACATTGATTCAATACATCCATTGATGTATTTCTCGCTTAACTTTCTCGCTTAACGTTCTCCCGGTCATTCTGCGCTCACAAAACGTTAAGTAAATGGTTCAAATATATACGTTCCTGAAAAGTTCTCCTGCTCCTAACACCGGAAGACCCTCTTTTTATTTCAAAATTTAAGTTCTCTTGATATAAGCAGCCAATAGGTAAAGTTTGAAAGAAAATCTACTGTGAATTCTACTGTAAATTCTACACACATGCGCACTTTAGGCGCGGACACATTTGCTTTGAAAGCGACTCATTTTCATGAATTGGAACTAAGTTCCGATACTGAGTTTCAACAGATTCTCTCTTCTTTTACCTGAAAGTAGATCGCAAAATTTGCACGGACAAAGCTATTTTGTTCATATTCTGTCGTTTTCGGTCCCATCCGTTCCCACCCTTAGCTTGTTTTACCCACTTATGACACCATTTTGCAATTTTGTTTACCTTGCGGGGAATGTCACGGAATGAAATGTAAACTCTGTGAGAATTACTCCTTTGGTCGGGAAGTTTAAATAAGCAATCTTTGAAGATTGTTTTGTTGTCATGACATCACACAAAATTCAATTATACCACACGAAATTGTTGGTACGACTTCGATAAAATTGGCTACTGTATACAGTTGGGCTTTCAACCGTGCTCGGACCATGCAGGTAGAAAGGATGAGGATCATATGGGAGGAAATTGATATAAGTACCAATATATTATATTCAAGCCATGCCAAAAATCCCGTGTGATGTAAATGGTAGGTAAAGTCTACATACAAGCCAAGTGGCCCATAAGGCCGGAGCTTATCCCGGTTTCCGTAGCACGAAGAGACTAGGAGTATTTCTACTCCTCCCTAGATGGGACGCTGTCCATCGCAGGGTTACCTCCCAACATTAAGTTTACAGGTACCCATTTGTAAACCTGGGTGGGGAGAGGCACTGTGAGAGTAAAGCGTTTGGCCCAAGAACACAACGCAATGACCCCACCCAAGGCTCGAACGAGGACCGCTTGATCCGGAGACAAGCGCTCTAACCACGAGGCCACTGCGCCTGCCATCCTCGTTCCCAGGGCCTTTTGCCTGGCTTTGTAACTAATTCCGGATTTGTTTTTGAGGATTTTAGAGGGACCGGGTTTTCTAAGAATTCATGCTTGAGGAATACACTTTGAAATGTTCTCCCGCACTTTGATTTATTGCTTTAAAATGAGCAGAGTAGGGTTGTAAAAAAAAAAAGATACTCAGAGACGTTTTCTGTTTGACGGCTAACCATTAATTCAGAGATTTCAAACAGCATGGGCTTATAAAAGTGGAAATAAATTGACACTGATAAGGTGTGTTTTTCATTTCGCTTGTGATGATCCTTTCTACGCCTCGCCGGATAATAAAACTTTATGTTTGGTGGCGTTCTCGTTGTCGTTCCCCTTCCTGGTTTGCTTAATGTCGCTAATGTAATGTTTGTTCCAGACAGTACCCAGTCCAACCATGATTTGAGAGTACACTAGCAACTCGTACACTTAAGGACAATTCGGGCGTTGTACATGTAGCCGAGTATAATGTAGAGAGGGGGTGGGTTAGGGGTCGCATACCACTTCTTATAGTTCATGAAGGAGGCGCGATAACCTCATGGTTAGTGCGTTCGTCTCCGGATCGAGCTGTTCGGATTAGAGCCCTGGCCGAGGATGCTGTGTTGTGTTCTTGGGCAAGACACTAACGCTGGGGGTAACTCTCGAATGGACTGGCATCCCACCTAGGAGGAGTAGAAATAGTCCTAGACGCTTCATGCAACAGAAACCGGGGATAAACTTCGGCTGCATAGATTGTCTCCCCTGACGCAGACTATTTAGACTTTTGGCGGGAGATTTAGGTCATTCTGGGTTTGTCAGTCTTAGCGTTCGTCCATTTATATCTATTAAGCTCTTGTTATAAAAACTTGTTTGTATAATTGTAAAATGTTCTACGTTATTAATGATTTTACACTCTTTCCTCGGGGTCTTGTGCTGCTGCTTTAGATGAAGAATACGCTTCCAAATATTTTAGGGGCCACATTTTATGGGTGGTTTTTTTAGTGGTTTTAATTTCGTATCTGGCGTAGTACAGGTTCTAATTATTAGAACCAATAGTTGTAATTTGCAAGGATACAGATTTTCTTATTAGACGGAATGTATCTGCATCAGATGCCTGACTAACGCTTCCTCAATAAACTACAGTCACACCAGAATGTCTCGTATTAACGTAGTCCGAATTGAGAGTTTTTCGTAGTCTGTGTGAAAGTAACTTATTACTAAGCCATTAGGTCAGTGAATTGTGAGGTTTCAGCACCAACACATACAGGCAGTGGGGCACCGGTAAAAACGCTGTTTACCAAGACCTCGCTTTGGCGACTAGAGTGCGGAAATACTGCAGCAACAATAGGCGATGTTCGTATTCTCGGGATTTGGACTGAAACTAGCTTGTAATGGAGGCGGGCTCACGCGGTGGAATATCATTAAAAAGAGAACACAACATTTGCATTTGAAAAGACTCCCCGCATTAGCCTCAAGGTCAACCTACTTCCAGTTTAATACCGAAAATACAAAAATGGTCCATTGTCAAATCATTTTAGTTAAGAAAAATTAATTCTTCAGTTGGTAGAGGCCCTGATTTTAAATCAATTCAATCCCCATTTTTTTTTTTTTTTTGCTTTATTCTCATTGAAGGTCAACTGACTTTCAATTAATCGTTCATTTTATATCGAAAGGTACATGAATCATGACACTGGAATTATTACTACTAAATGTAGTTACTTTAAAAACTAGCACTCTATTAAATAGAAGCTCTATAGAGCGAGACTTCAGCATTTTTCATTAGTCAAACGCTCCAAATCTCACCGTCAAATTTAATTTCTGTTCATAAACAGAGTTAAACAATCACTATTATTTGTCATTTACATAACATTGGAATCAATTAGTAAGATTCGTGTGAAACCTTGCAGCCCTAAAGTTAAAAAGTGAAATATTGACAAGGAAATATTTCAACTCTGGAAACGAGAATTATCTCTTTTAAACTGTGCGTTTGTATCTCAGTCTTCCACAATATACTTATTTTTGTTGTAGTTAGGCGTAATGAGCCAGTCCACCGGGGATGGATTCCTGTATAAAAATGACGGGGGTGCTTGTCGGAACTGGCTGTGGAAAGAACCCTTGTGAGGTACCAAGATCCTGTTTTGTAGGCGTGGCTTGAAAATTTTTCTCCCTCAAGCCGCGTACCAATTTTAAAACAACACATTAAACAGACACTGACTTTTTTCGGCTCAATACCCTAAAAGTGCCGCGAAAGATCCACCTGTGGACCTTTTGAGGCTGACTCCCCAGAGAGGTACTAAAACCGCTTTTTTAACCCCTAAATGGTACGAAGAGCACCTCCGTCCTTTTTAAATGGGAGTCTACGCCGGGTTCTCATAGTGGAAATTTCAGTGATCTCTTTTATGACTCGCGGGCGTACAAACCAACAGTATAAGCCGCTCAATTATGCTCTACTAGTAATGTTTATGTTACAATAGGAAAATATTCTCTCAATTAATTAAGATAGACGTAGAGACCAAATTGTACAAAATTTACAAAATGTAACTTGGATGTAATTTTTTCCAAGTTGAAGTAAGTCGAAGTAACTTATTTTTTTCTCATGATGTGCAGTTTAAACGCTTTGCATGGTCTGACAAGCGAAGCACACCGCAATTTCAAAACTACTTTTGGTTTACCTAATGAAGTTGAAAATTCTGAAACGAAATCGGGTAAATTAAATTGAACTTCGCAAGAAATGATAATCTTTCCCTTGGCTTTGCAAAAGTCTGTTGGATCTACTCTGGCCGTCGATATCCTAGTTGCGACAAGCGTGCTGTTTCTTGGCCAATCAGGTTATAGGACTAGAGTCATTTCCCGCCTTTCAATGTAAAGGACTTCGCTTTACAGGAAATTATTTGCACTAGCGAATTTATACAAGGATTAAAGATAAAATTGAAAAACTATTTTTATGGATACCAGCTTAATTTATGCCACTGAACGTTAACAAATGGTTGATTTTGTTGTGCATTTGCAAATTCTTTTAAGACAAAGAATCGAAGCTGTTTTCTCCATAGTCTTCTGGCCTTTTCTAACAATAATATACATAAAATCACTTCATTATGTTGGTCTACTGAGAAAATATTCAGTCCATATCAAAGTAATTGCCAGAAAATAGGGCAAGGATATATTTACACGATATTAATATTAATACTATTATTAATATTAATATTGAACTTCTCATGATGTAAAAAGATTTTATGGTTGACTGTTAACCTTGCTGCATGCTGTCGAGTACATTTTCCATTGTTTCCTCAAGCTGTAGGAAGAAAGGGCCTTTGAGCAATGCTGCCCCAACCCGACCCATTGCAGTGTTGTAATGGCACGGTTCAGCTTGTTTCCCACTTACCAGAAACCAGCCTCTTGCTTGTTGTAATTAGTTGCAACACAATTTCTTGTGACACTCACCAAGCCATCTCGGTTTTGTATTGTGCACCATCTCAGTTTAGATCAAACTTTAATGACTGACACCACGCGGCACGAGAGACTGGAACTCCAGCAATTTTGCCATTGACTGTATCAAGCAATGATTGAGTCGACATTTCTACAGGACTTAGCGAATCAGTGAAAACAGGCTTTCATGTCTGCGTTCGTAAGATACATCGCGCCTTTCGCCATATCGAGATCGACAATTAAGTTTAGGGTGCGTTCCTTTGGGATGATCTGGATCAGGATCAACGACCCAAGATCAATCGAATCATGTTTCATGAAGGGAACCGACGAATCCGTTACCAGAGTGGATTCATCGATTCATTTGATGTACCATGATCTGAGTGATCTTGGATCACTGATCCAGATCAATCTAAAGGAACGCACCCTCAGTTATATAGTGTATCAAACAGACCCTCAGAAACAAAAAAAAAAAAAGAGAACTCGACCCTTTTCAGAGCATTTAGTGCTTTCCACGACTATACCATTTTCTATTCCTCTCTAACCGACAACTACCAGAATTATCGATTATCGACTCAGTTATACACTAATCACTGATTCACCAAATCCTGAATTTATATCACGTCCGATGAGTCTGTAAGTCTCTTATTGACGAGAGGCCCGGACTCCGTGCTGTCCGACGTCTGGAGTACTTAGTTTCAACCGGTGACATTGGTTCCACGTTCTTTTTGGGCTCTTCATTCTCATTTTCATCTTCTTGTGCCTCCTCATCGAATGATTCATTTACCATTCCTCTACTATCTGTATTAAGAGTCACTGTTAATGTTGGTTTGACAAACCGGACTGCATGGTTCTTCTTTACTGGGGTCCCCGGTCTCCCAGGTGTTCCCGGTCTACAGGGAGAACCCGGCCGCGCATTGCCATTTACCAAATGTTCCTTGTTCTCTTTCTGTTTCATAGAAGCGAGCACGTTGTCGATGTCATCAATTTCGAACTCTTCACTCTCCCGGTGAACAATAGGCGGGCATTTTGGTGATGATTGTTCAATCGGTTCATCTATAAATCCTGTGATAGCTTCCGAGAGCTCCGGTGGATCCACCGTTAGGGTATTCCCGTAGTGAGGGGGGCTTTTGGGAGGAGTGTCAATCGTAGTACTCTGAGTACTGGTGTGGCTCTTTTTTCTGTCGTCCAGAGGTGGACTGTTAACTGCAATGAATTCTTCACTGCTTCTAGAGCGAACTGGGAAAGACTGTCGATGAGCCATGCCCCCAGCGTACAAAGAGGACCGTGCTCGTCTAGCCCTAGAGAAGACGTGTAAATTATTTGTTAGTTCAGCAGGTAGCGCAGAGAACCCGGAATGATTTACTATTTGTTACACTGGATTAGAGGAGCTTATTTTGGCCACATAGAAAATCACCTTCAAATTGAAGTCATAAAGAGTCATTTAATAAGATAGAGAAGCATTATAGAGATAATAAAAAACCATAAAGGAACAAGAATGGTTAAGGATGGAGAAGATTGACACGGATTACAAACGACGAAATTGAAAAATTTAGGCTTAACTTTTCAAGATGCACAAACCGTGACGTAGCTTCTTTAAAATATTTCAGTTACCTCCAAACGTTGGTTTAGTCACACGGCATACGACGCGTGCGCATTTCATGTCCAATTCCAAATTATTGTCGCAATTCAAGCTTAAGGTGTCCCTGTAGTTTTGCGATTGCCCGCGCGCATAGGACAAAAGCTCAAGTAATCTGCGCGCGCTCAAAGGAAAACGTAAGTGTTTTTCGATTTTTGTGACGTCAACATGAGGACAAAAAGCAAAACTGACAGTGAATTTTCTCGGGTTTCCTTTGGTGATTTTTTTTTTTAATTTGGCTCAGTTGTAACCACATACAATTACTATAAAATACTCTACTTTTGTTAAAATCTGTCAGAGCTAATCTAATATATTTAGAAGAATGACAAATTACTGAATATTGGAAAAACCGTCTGAACAACCTTGACTTTTTAGCAATTCAAAATGTCAGGCAATATCATTTCCATGATGTGGTAAAGTATGAAAAAATTTTACCGAAGGAAAATATAAATATTAAGGAGTTTAGGCCAAAATGAGGAATATATCTGCCTGTCATTAGATGAGATGTTGCCATGGTAACGGTCTTAATCCAAAAATTGACAACCAAAAAAATAAGCCTTATTTTAACAGTACCCATACTGGTAAATCTCGACAGGGAAAACTTTAAGAGAAATTAACTAAGTTTCCTTTTCTAACTCGCGCTCTATAGGGCGAGTGTTTGTAAATACTCTAGGGAGCCACCTTAAAGACGAAACCTTGCAAGCCGAATAAGTATATACCTGATACAGAATTTTATTATTGTTGTTCACAAGCCTGGTACCTCGTGTTTTGGCTTGCCGCTATGTTGGATAATGTTTCTTTACAAACGTCCTGTTCTTGCACTACGAAGTCTAAACGAATTCATGAAAATAAAAACTGGTAGTGGCCCGTAGCTGTCTGCGGCATTCCAGCTGGGGGTTTTGACGATAAGCCCTTTGCAGGACCTGGTCACTCCATGGTACCAATTCAGCCATGCTGGGACGCAAGTTACACAGTGAGACTTCCAAAACAGTGAAAAGTCAAGCTGGACTGGTGTGAGTTGCCGCTTTGGTTTGAAAGTCCTACCGTGTAACATGCGTCCCGGCAGCATGGCTGATTTTTGTACCATGAGATCGGATCGTGCAAAGAGTCTATCAGGGAGAATCCTTGTTTACAAAAATTGCCTCATTAACATAAGCGATACAGTTTCTGACGGAGCTAAAGAAAGCATTAGCTCTGAATATTGAACGGGCATAGCACGGTTAACTGTCTCAATGCAAGGAATTTGAGCCCGATGTATTGAATACTTTTCGTGCAACGCGGGTTAAAAAGCTCAAAATTTTAAAAAGAATGTATGAGCTCATTAGCGCTTTTGCCACCCATAAATTTTGCAGTTTTTGAAAGTCAATTTTTCCTCGAATTTTTACATCCAAAGAGTAAAACATTTTACCAATTACTAAGTTTCACAAGTTCTTTAAATGTTTGCAGTCAATTCATTTCTAGCGTAATGCCTTCATTGTAAAAAGTCATATGTTAATGAGGAAAAGTACAAGCAATGACGTCATTGAATGCTGAGCTTACCTTCCCCGATATGGGTGTACTTTCGTATCTCCACCCAGAGATCCATTAACAACGGGTGACGACTTTCTCGTTTCCAGCCTTCCCTCTGTCATATCTGTACTAGTCAGGTCCTCGCTTGGTCTTGCGGACTGCAACATCAAGGCATTTGCAGCACCAACCATGGGACGCTTTGATTTCTTAGGGAGTTTCATCTGCGCCTGTGCATGCGAGTAGTATAGTGAGAAGTTACTGCCGATGATAGAGATTGGAAGCGCAGTGATGATGATTGACAGCGCGGCACAAAGCGCACCAAAGACTTTCCCAGTGGGTGTTATTGGAACATCATCGCCATAGCCCACCGTGGTGATAGTGATAACGGCCCACCAAAACGAAGCCAAGATGGAAGAAAAGTCGTCGGGATTAGCTCTCTTCTCCGCCAGATAAGCACAGCTTGCGAATATAATAACCGGTACGATCAGAAGCAGAACCAGCAGCATCAATTCACGTGAGCTGGCGATCATTGTTTGCTTAAGAATCTGGAATCCAAGATTAACTTTAAAAAACCTGAATAGGCGGAACAACCGGCATATTGCTAGGATATCGTATTCGATACGAGGTTCTCCGTGCGGGTAATCATTTGTCGTTAAAATACGAACATAAAATGGCCAGATGGCAATAAAATCAACCCAGTTCATTATTTGCTTGACAAAGTCCTGTTTGCTTGGGCAAGTTGCTAGTCTGAGTGTGAACTCAATAGTAAACCAGATTCCGCAGACGCCTTCGATAATTACCATGGCCAGGCGGGCTGACGTATTCCCAGATACCTGCTCAAGAGTTTGCACACAGTAAGCCAGGACAGACAGAATTATAAACATCAGTGACACCATAAACATCATCTGTGAGCAAAGAAAGAAAATTACTAGTAAATTTTTATGATGCATAGATCTGTCTTCAACTCCATGAAAACTTACAGAGAGTTTTGTCAGGTAGAAAAGCACAACAGAGGTGGTAATAATTAATCATCCAAAATAGTACAAGGGTGCTTAAGATCGGTGGAGATCAATAGCCCTTTTCGCGGTTACCTTTACTCATTTACCTTACAATAAAATCTAGCATGTATGTGAGGCAATTTCGGGCTATTTTGTAGTTTTAGCCCGAAATCACCTCGCATCCACGTTGGATTACATTGTAATGCGAATGAGAAAAATTAACCGTTAAAAGGCCTATTGAGACGTAATATATCAAACACGAAAGACCGTGTTTAAGCACATTTCCAAATACCGAGAAAAGAGTAGAAAAAAAAACGACAAGTGTTTGGAACACTTTTGACTTCGAAGTATTTGAACATGTGCTTAGACACTGTCTTGAGTGTTTGATAAATCTTCTCAATCGAATTAACTAAACTAAAACAAAAGACAATGCAGCAAAACAAAAGAAAACAAAAACAAGATTGGAATCTACCAAATGTGGTATCGTAGCAACCGCGCGTGTGCCCGCGTGCAAATGAAACACTGAAACACATTCATGATACATAGAAGCTCGAAGGTCCTGCTATTGTTAAAAAACTTATAGGCTCAAACAACACTCATAAGGATAAATCTGGTGTTAACTTTTAGTACCTACTTCTTCATATAGGTCCATACAGTATGTACATAGTGTCCACAATTATAGTTTCACATTGCCAAATCCACCGAAACTTTTAGTATATTGTCATTACTTTTTTTTTATCTTCTACTGAGTGAAATCAAGTTCTACTCAATTGCAACAATGTAAACTACTTCAGATAAAGCTCTCTTTTGCATGTTATAGATGCAACCTTGAGAAACGTTTTGCTCAACGATTAGATTTTAATTAAGCTCTCTCGTCAGCCTAATTTTTGGAGAAAAACTTTAATTTAACTGACAATTTGATGTGTCTATTTCGCCAATATGGTGGCCATGAGATGATCTGAAACGAAAAGTTATGAACAGATTTTGCCAAGAAGGTTAGTAAACGTTAGTTTTCTCTTTATAATGCCGCAATAAGGTTCGACGTTTGACCCAACTGAGTTTGTCCAACTGAATTTAGATCTAAATTCGAATTAAGTTCGACGTTTGATCCAACGGTCAAGCGTTACCCGTTTGGTTCGACTCAAATTGCAATTTAACGCGTTCATTTTAAGTTCAACATTTGACCAGGGCCTTAAGTGATACTTAAAGACAGTTATATTGTTCGAAAATTTCTCAGGCACTATGTATGTACTAACCTTACTTGTACGTACGAAAGTTGTGTAATTATTTTTTAAAAAACTACATTTTAATTTGAAAACCATTATAACTGTGTGGGCTGGAAAACATGCTATAAATTTATATATTTTGTTGGTTTACTCGATCGGTTTTGGGTGATAAATCGTTAGAATTTCAACGATGAAAACCAAGTAACGTTAGATCTCTACAAGTTGGCGAGGAAGCCTTGAGCAGAAAGAACCTTGCTCAGGTAAAGAGACGAAATGGATTTAGCACTTTCGAAGGTTTACTCAAGGTTTTCATGTTAGCTTGCTACTTACGTAATCCTTCTCGTTCTTTCCATGCAACATTAATCATTCTTGGTTCTTTTTGGTTTATCATTGTCTTTCGATATTTTCAGTGGCAACTTAGGCACAATTAATAAATAAAGAATTAGTTGCATTTGGCTGATGGAAATTACAATAACAGAGAAAATACAAATTGCAAAGAGAGAAAATAAACTAAAAATCCGGAACGACTTCAGCTAAACATCAAGAGGATCAAAGCCCAGTTTCCCTCTTTGGGTTCCCGAACAGGAATGATGAGAGCCAGTTGATTTTTGTAGTTTATATTATAATATTTGTATAATAGTGTTTTTTTTAGCATTTGTAACTAACGATTTTCCGTGCATAAATAAAGATAAATAAATGTTAAGTTTGGGCCAAAAATCAGTTATAAACGCACTTAACTGTCCAATGACAAAACTACCAAAAATTATCCCTTCCTCATTAAACAATAAGTCACAAACCAAACTGCTTGGTTTTCCTGTAAGGGGCACGTAACCAAACCTAACAAGAAACTTCAAATTTTGAATTCCCTATGAGATTTTCCACATTTCCATGATAAAGTATTATTTTAAGTTTCGTTCTCGATTTGAAAGTAATTTTGATACAGTTCTTCATTTAATAGCAGAGTTAAGTA